TGAGCTGTTGAATTTCAAAAAGCGCTTTTTTACCTGCTTTTTCAAGACTTTGGATCTCGGAGGTGTTTCAATAGATCGGAACGGCTAAGAAACATTCTGGTAAGGCAAACCTTACTCTATAAAACCTATGAAGTTGCAACATCAGAAACTTTCACATTCAAGATTTATATGAGTTTAACTGTCAACTATCAAAAAACACGCAAATATGGCGTAAATTTTTAGAATTCCGGTTTTCAACGACTGTCTCTCAAATCCACTCGATTCTTTAACTAGCTGAAAAAGCACCATTTACTCTTTAAAACCTATGAAGTCGCAACTGCTGACATCTTCAAACAACAGATTTACAACAGTGGAAATTTCGCATGATTTTTCACTATCTAAATATTCAAAATTCTGGTTCTCGGCCGTTACTGCATGGATCGATCTACTTTCTTCGCTGTATGTTATAACTAAATTTGCTTAATAAAATCCGTACAATTTCGCTAAGTTTTACTTCCAAATACACCATTTACTGGAAACGTTTATTTTAAATGTATATGCCGCCGTATACATAAATATATGCTTTCAATAATCTTTTTTGCGTTTGTTTTGTTTACTTTCCTTCTTTGTCGTCCAGCGAAAAAATTTTTATTCCAAAAGTGATGGTGGTCACCCTGTACCAGTTCAAAAGTGAAGGTAGGGGGAGAATCAGTTCCCACTATCGCACCTCTGCTCCCAGCCCGTAGCTCAAATTTTGCAAAAAATCGATAAAATCGATAAAAATAATGGACGATTTCAAAAACTAATATTGTATTCGAAATTCCCATGCTCGATTACCCCCCTGGGCAAACTCCCAGCCCCGTAGTTCAAACTTTGCAAAAAATCGATAAAATCGATAAAAGTAATCGATAATCTTGAAAACTAATATTGTATTCGGAATCCCCATGCTCGTTACCCCCTTGTGCAAGCTCCCAGCCCCGTAGTTCGAACTTTGCAAAAATCGATAAACTCGATAAAAGTAATCGATAATCTTGAAAACTAATATTGTACTCGGAATCCCCATGCTCGATTACCCCCCTGTGCCAACTCCCAGCCCCGTGGGTGAACTCTGCAAAGAAATCGATAAAAATCAACAAACCGATATCGATCGATAACGAAAAGTAGCCTATGACACCCGCCGGGGCATGAAGTGTATGTGTGCCAAGTTTGGTGCGGATCGGTTCAGAAATGGAATTTTCTATTCGCAACATACGTACACACATACAGACAGACATACAGACAAACAGACATTCAGCTTTATATATAAGATATCAAAAGTCGAATGAATTCTCATCAGTCGTTTTTTTTGCTCCCAGTGTTAAGAGAGGGCCATTGCAAGGTGTGACATTACAAACCAGATTTGGTTTTTCCCGCAAATTAATGCCTGTCGAGATAACAAGATGATGCGAAAAAGCAACAAACAAAGTTTCGGATTGACCTACTATTTTGAAATTTACAAAGTGAGATTACAATCAATCCGCAAACATCAAGTTATATCCTAGATTTTACCTTAATAAAAGCAAAACAAGCGTTTTTGCTTTTAGCACGATTTTTATTCTATTTCCAAACTATTGCCAGAATAGCTATTTGTCATTTATTGTTGCTATAACATTCTTATTCTAACTTACTTTTTTCTTGCGCAGCTTTGAATTTTTCCAGATGTTTTGTCTGTTACTAGTTCGCTTCATTGTGCTTGGGCACACACTATTTTGCCTCCTCCTGACTACCAAGTTGTACTAGATTCAAACCCCAATTGTAAATTGTCTGCTCTGACACCTGCAACCTACTCGAGAACACACTAACCATCTAAAATGTATTTTTGACTTCACACTATCACATAAGGAATAATGGAAAGTACTTCAGCAGAGAGAATTCCCATTGTTTCACTACATACAATGCTTTCAATCTTCTATTAGAACGAGGGGCTTCCAATATTTCAGTGAACTTTACTGTCACTTCAAATCATCAATACAAGTGGAAACGAAGCAATTTGTTGTTTCTTAGATTAGCATTCGTAAAATTGTATCACCTACAGGGGCGTCAAAATGCTGTTCTATAGTCACATATTCAACATGAGACAATGCTTACATGCTGTGTGCTTTTATTACATTCATTACTATTGTTATACAGCAAATTTAGAATCGTAGGTTCTCAGAGAAGTGAACAAACCAGATCCGATGTGTTGAATAAATCAGAAGCACACGATCATAAAATCAGACACGTTTTTCAATTTGTTCTCTGTAGTAAAAACTCGAAGCAGACACGCAGTGGTATACGGTTATGATTTGGTTGGAACATAGTTTGATCCTCGACTTTTTACCGGCCAAAATCTTCTCCATTCCAAAGAGCGTAGTAATATGGCAACAGATTTATTCGAAGAATAAGTTCCCTGATCTGTACACGCATACTAATGAGAATATTTGCGTAAGAAAATTATCTTTGACTAGCTGGCTTACCCGGCTCCGCCGTATCCGGACCAAACTTGGCACACATACACTTCGGGCCCCGGCGGGTGTCACAGTCCACTTTTCGTTATCGATCGATGTCGATTTTACCGATTTTTATCGATTTTTTTGCAGAGTTCACCTACAGGGCTAGGAGTTGGCACAGGGGGGGAAGTGAGCATGGGGATTTCGAATACAATATTAGTTTTCAGGATCGTCCATTATTTTTATCGATTTTATCGATTTTTTTTGTGAAGTTTGACCTGCGGGGCTGGGAGTTTGCACAGGGGGGTAATCGAGCATGCTGATTACGAACACAATATTAGTTTTCAGGATCGTCCATTACTTTTATCGATTTTATCGATTTTTTGAAAATTTGAGCTAGGGGGCTGGAATTTGGCAAGGGGTGTAATCGAGCATGCTGATCACCCCCCTTGGGGGTGATCAGCATGCTCGATTACCCCCCTGTGCCAACTCCCAGCCCCCTAGCTCAAACTTTGCAAAAAAATCGATAAAATCGATAATAGTAATCGATAATCCCGAAAACCAATATTGTATTCGGAATCCCCATGCTCGATTACCCCCCTGTGCGAACTCCCAGCCCCGTAGCTCAAACTTTGCAAAAAAATCGATAAAATCGATAAAAGTAATCGATAATCCTGAAAACCAATATTGTATTCGGAATCCCCATGCTCGATTACCCCCCTATGCCAACTCCCAGCCCCGTAGGTGAACTCAGCAAAAAAATCGATAAAAATCGATAAAATCGATATCGATCGATGACGAAAAGTAGCCTATGACACCCGCCGGGGCCCGTAGTGTATGTGTGCCAAGTTTGGTCCGGATCGGTTCAGAAATGGAATTTTCTATTCGGAACATACGTACATACAGACAGACATACAGACAGACAAACAGACATTCAGCTTTATATATAAGATAAACTAGGGATAAGCTTATGTCAGTAAGTAATATGTTTGCCAACCAGATTCTGCGGTGGAGACTTTATTGACCTAACGTTTCGACATCGGCGTCATCATCAGAGGTCTTGACTCCACCAGCTAGCGACAAGCCCGCACATTTGATGGTAACGGACGTCACGTCGTGAGTATGGAGTCAAGACCTCTGATGATGACGCCGATGTCGAAACGTTAGGTCAGTAAAGTCTTCACCGCAGAATCTGATTGGCAAACACATTGGCCCGTAGTAAACCTAATATAGTTCAGGTGAACTGAACTGAGGCCCTCATCCAAGGTTCGGTAAGGTAGACTGCCTATCACCAGCTCTCCACGTTGTAAGAATGCAAAATGAAATTTCAGCTGACCGTCCGTCTACCTGACGAGGTAGTCTACCTTACTTCAGTCAGTTCACATTCAGTTAGACTACCTTGGTGTTACTACCTAGACTTGATGAAAATAGTGTGCTAATGATGATACGCAGAGAAACTTTTCGTAAGTTGCTCCTGAGTAACTTACAAAACATCATAATTGCCTAACAATGCAGAAAAACTCAACGCAAAACTGCACACATTTTCCCTCGCCGTGCTTGTGCGGATTCGACGTTTTTGGTTTTTTTTTCTTCGCTTCCTTTCATCTTGTTGTTGGTACACCTATCATCTAAACTAGCATAATTTTTGCCTGAAATGATCAAACTTCTCTTTTTTGACATGACATCCGTATCTTATTCCGGCTGTCATGTTTCTGCTTGATGGCAATTTGGGTGCTCATCGCTTAAGTGTGAAATCTCCTGATATAGGGCCGCTAGCCGGTGTCTTGTCTTGATGAAAACTAGATACTCTTGAAAGTTTGAAGAGGATCTCGAAAGTGTCACTGTTATAGTAACCAGATATATCTGGATATACTGACCAGATATATCTGGTCAGTGAACTCGAGCTGCTATTTTCTCCATTTTGTGATTTAATTTTGCACTCCATCTTGCAGGAGATTCTACTTTCTGCTCTTTAAATCTTCCATTTTCGTGTGTTATGTATATGTCGTGATCGCATAATTAGCTGCATTTTTGATGTTTCTCTTCCTGCTTACAAGCATCTAAAATAGTTCTAAAGTTCCTTATTGACTCCGCTAATCATTGTCATTCCAGTGCATTCAGTTCATAGTAGGATTTTTCAAATCTACCGAGTCTATTTTTCGATGACTTTTACCACAAGATAAAAACTGCCAGTGGAAAGCATCTGTCACAAAAGATTGGCTGGTTTATGATGATGTTGATGAGCAAATTTATTGAGGCTATTTTCTCGAGAGTTTTCACACTTTCGACATTGCTTACCGGAAGCTAACTGCACATGCAAATATTTTATTAAACGAGTTGCATTGTAATCATAGCGTGCAAAGTGACGAGTTCTTTTGCTCCTCCCACTTGCTCCAGAATAAAAACTTCTGAAAATTTGCTTTTTCAAATTATCTGTATGAAGGTAGCATTGCCGATTCAAAGCTAGTCTCCTATTCATATATGACACTTATGATCGCAGCTAATGTTGAGCTACACTTTGTAAAAGGCAGAACTAGCAGATAGGGCTGGCTGATGCTTTCCGTTTCACAACGTGCTGTATATAAACAGCATTTGCTGAGAACAGCTAAACATCCGCAATTGCTATCAGTTGCGTTTGCACACATTCCACTTTCGTCACTTGTGTTCATTATCCTGAGATGTACGGTACAATTGCGTGTTTATTTGCTAACGAAGGCGAAAATCGCACCTTTTCGCGTCATAAAAACAACGTTATTATTCGATTTAAATCAGCTTCGTCAAAATGAAGTCGTTATAGGTACGTGAACTGGTGGATAATTTGGCCCTATTCAAAAAGGGACCAGTGTTAAGAAGAAAGGTCGAAGCAGTGCAGTGAGAATCTGGGCCGGCCACGTTCATTGGTGTGATGGGGTTGTCTGGAACGAATTTCATACTAGGAATAAAGGTTAGCGTTTTTGCTTCTTTTAGCAGTTCAGTTCTTTGACCATACTACTTATTTCGTTTTACCCGTTTTTGCTTTTCATTCAACGAAACGTTAACGCCCATCTACATGCGACTGGAAACACATGGAGCGCGTTCATATATGTGTTTAACCTTGCAAAATAAACTCGAAATTAGGGGAGGATGAGTTGTTCATTCTTTGATTATGGTTAGGTTTGGAAGACGGCCCTTCTGCACCGCTAGCCTAGCCTTAGCAGGTTAATTACTCCGCATCTTTGATAGAAAACTTATGATTACGCCCTTTTTTCGAAGCGATTCCTTGACTAGGTATAGTCGTTCTCACCCCACTATACATCTGTAGGGCGAACTCAAATTCGAACAAGTAAACCAACTGCGGTAGAGCGCGGCACCAGCTCTCAGTTCGAGTCAGAGTTATTGTTATGAACTTTCTCATTATAGCATGCTATCTTCTGTGTCGTAATCATGTTTCGTCTGAAAATGACAACTTATATTCTTGGAAGGTGTTTCATAATGGTATGCTCGTCTCTTCGACTCTGACTTCAGTAACCTTGGAGAAACAGTGCGCTGGATTTTGCTCGTAAACCCTCTTTTCAGTTAATAGACTGTGCAGAAGTGCTGCTTGGTGAATTCATGTCAAAGATGCCCCATCTGCGTAATTTTCTCAAACTTACTCGAAATCAGAGTTGGAGGTATGACCAGAGCACCACGAGGAATCCTTCAACAACAACAGCACATCTTCGGTTCGATCCTGAGTGTTATTACTAGAAAGTAGCATGCAACGAAAGAAAACTTCAAAAGGAATTATCTGTGCTCGAACTGAGCTGTGAGGGTGTCACGTTCTACGGCAGTTGGCCTGCTCCAGAATAAGTTTCCATCTGCATCTATCGCCAGATGTGATGGGGTGAGGACTGAGGACGACTATAAGCAAGTTATCGCTAGCAGAGAGCTTATTGTTACGTTAGGCCCCGGACAGACTTTACGCGCTTTGATCGTCGCGACTGATTCGCTACGAGACAACTGTTACAACATCATTCCATGCCGATCAACTTGCATTTCGGTTGTGATACTTTTCCAGCCCGAAATTTTTAAATGTGAGATGAAAATGAATGGAAATGTCGGCGATTTAGTCACGACGATCAAATCGCGTGAAGTCTGTCCGGGGCCTTAGAAGAAGATAGTCCGGCATAGATGAGAGGTGGAGGTACGAAAAATGAAAGGGCGCCCAATTAGAAAAACGCCGATAGCGTCCGCAAGAACGCCCTGTCCCTGCGTGCGCTGACTCAACTAAACTTTAGCTGAGGCGGCGCCCAACTATTTAACACTTTGTTTTTTTCATTGCGAAGTCCTATCGAAACGCAAAAGTCAGTCACCTGTACAGGTTTTCTTTCCAGAATTGATTATCGTAGATGAAAAGCGATTGCAATCGTACAACTATTATAGTCGGAACAAGTTCGACATGAAGATGAGCAAGGCGAAGAAGAGAGCTAATGATGTGAGGAGAAAGCGGGAAATAAAGGTTAGCAAATTTTTTGTAGTTGGGTTCCAGATTATGGCGTTTCTGAGCTTTTTCATTTCTCTTTTCGTGCGGTTATCGACGGCGGCATCATATCTTATTCTCGATGTTTTGGCATGATTGTTCTTTCTTAACTTCACATGCTTATTTTTTGTGTCGTTGGTCAGAAAACAAGTATTTGCTTTTTTTGATACGAAATTTTTCATTTCCATACTCTTTCTCTCTTTGAACATTACTTCTAGGGTTCCACATATAAACCATCCAATCGTGATTAGGCCAAGCTCTTCGCGTACTTTGCGCGCTCGCAGCTTTAGTGGTCTGCACTGCATATGCGCGCTGTCAGAAGGAGAATTATAGGGCATTTGAAAAATCGTGACTATAGCGCGACCGCTCGCGACACGCACGCCACTTCAGGAAATCGTATTTTCTCGGTCTTCATCTTTAGTCGAATGGTTTTCTCGCTTACGTATGATATATTTAGACATTGGAAGTGACTGAGCTACACGTTGAGGTGAAGCCTTCTTGTATGAGCTTTTACGCTTCTGTGGGCGCAAAGTTCGCAGTAAAATTCATCGTCACGATTTCATACTTGATTTTGACAAATTCTAAAAAACTGATACATATTTTACTGTGCTGCTTCCCAATTTTTTGTAAATATAAGAGCAATGGATTTGGTTCTTTCTTTTTTTTGAATTCCGAACTCACATTCAAATATATGCTGATGATGCGCATATGCATTCCAGAGTTCCATTCATGGTTATCTTCACCCCCATACTCCAAGCCCCAAATGGACTCTGATGGCACATCTGTGATTGGTTGGAGACCATCTGCGCTGGCCCAGCTGCATAGTCTTAGGTGAGGATCCTCTGCTTTAGTCTCATTGTCAATCAGCGTCTATCTGCGGCAATGTTTCTCCACGGTGCCATTTAGGCGTGTGAGGGAACTTACTTACCCGCACACTTGCCGCAACGTAGTTGCGGAGGTCACGAACTGCCAGCAATGCTAAATAGCACCCATTTTGTACCCTAACAGCATTGATTCCGGCACATAATAGCTTGTTCTCACCATACGGTACTCTGCAGTACATGAAAGCTGAATCTATCTGCAATTTCGAGATAAGAGTTCAGCTAAGATTTTTGTTTAATTAGTTTAAAGTTGATATTTGGAGGTTTTCAATCTTAGTGTTTCTGAATATGCTTAAGATTTTAGTTGAAACCTTGAAATATTCAAGGCTGTTGTTTGCTGACCGCTGTTTTGAAAAATAAGAAATTAAAGTCATAGAAAATTTTCAGTTCAGAACTTGACTTCATCCTCGAATAAAAACTGTATTTTAAGTTCCAAGTTTTGAGCAAAACCACAGCTTATTTGGAAACACATGACAGAAACCCCCAAATACAACTTTTCAAATTCGCAGTGAAATTCACCGAAAAAACTTGTTCAAATAAAATGTTGAAGTTTTAAACAAAATCACAAGCATAATCGGAAACGCCGTGACAGAAAACGTGTAAATACCAGTTTTTATCCTGATCGAACGAAAAGCCTATCTAAACTTTGATTTCGACATGCCAGATAAATCAGGTTTCATGTAATACAGGATACCATAGGATGAGGACAAGCCACTGCGTGCAGAAATCAGCTCTGTTAGGGTGCAAATTGGATGCTACTTAGCGTTGCTTAGAGTTCATGACCTCCATAACTAGTTTGCGGCAAGTGTTTGGGTAGATAAGTTCCGTTCCCCCATTTAGGCTAATCTTGACAATGATAATCCTGTTGAAAGCATGGGGTTAATGCACTATATCTGTTTTCCGTCTCTTTCTGCGTATTACTCCTTTTCATAAAATTATGCAAGTGAGTTGTTGGCAGTGTCGTACTTTCGATGTCTTTTTTGAGCCATAATCCAGAGGTTTCGATTTTTGGTTCGTGATTACAAAATGCATTCTACATTGTTTTCGATATTGATATATGCTGTCTCAAAAATGTGGCAGCTCGCACTTTGGCCACCCGCAGCCGGCTCGCTCGACCTCGCTGGGCTTTTGTGAAGGTTGTCTGCGAATGTGGTGCAGGGCACGAGCGAATCAGTGGCGACTGCCCGAATCACTCAACCTGTGACACTCTTACTGAGACATCTTCACCTTCACTTGTCAACAAATCAACAATCTTCTTTACGAACTCGACAGTTATTTGGTATGAGTATGTTTGAACAATACTCGGTATCTTTTTTTGCATTGAATGTTGTTACTAATATGTTGTTACTTACTTTCGCTACTTTTCGCTTTATTTTCTTATGGTTTTAATGAAGTCTCTTTTCTGTTTGGCTGTTGAATCTTGGAAATTTATGGAGGCACTGTGCTGCATCGAACCCTTGTACAGCCGTGCCTTGTACCAGAAGGTTGGATTCATATTGACCTGCATGTTTCGACAGTTCCATAACGCTCGAATTGTGTGCCGTGCCTCAAGTGCTCCGGAATTCACAGATTAGCATGAACCCAACCGAAGCAATCTTTCGGTCGCTCAGTTTGTGGTTTCTTTAGAGGGTAATTGGAGGTTGGGTGAAGGGTAGAATCAAAAAGTTGAGCTTGGTTTTGAATGATCTATCTAGCTCCCGACTGTGTTTGGAACTAGCTTTAGCTTAGGCCACCTGAGTTGGAAGATCCATTCGGAGATTCCAACCTTTCTGATTTGATCTGTCAAATTCCCCTGTTAATAGTGAAAACTGCTGATTTTGACTAGAAAAAAAGGTACACGATGAATCACTGCTTTTTATTCTACCGAAAACATTAGAATGTTTGGCTTAAAGCAAGCCTGCTCTTTTTTAACTCTTACGCTGAACGTATGATAGCTGATCTCACGATTAACGTCGGCACCCATTGTTGTTGGCGCCGTTTATCGTCAACTTAGTCTAAGCACTGCTATTTAGGTGTCTCGGATCTAATCATATGCATCTCAAAAATCGATTGAGATTTTTACTGTTTAGCCAACTGGTGCCTATCAAGGAACCGTTATTCTCTGTTTCGAAGGTAATTCTGCTCCTAGCACTACAGACGTTATCATGAGAAAATCGGGACAAGTCCGAATGCGGGGCCAGCAGTGTTTTTATTTTTGTAGGAATATTTTTATTTTTGTAGGAAGCAATTGTTTTAAAGACTCTGTCAAATTCTGCGGGGTATTGAGAATTCGTCCACATTCTTGTGCTTTTGTTAACAACTATGCGATTTATGCGAATTTGCTCAGTTAAAAGGTTGTTGATGGTTTCTATGCAGAACTTTCACAGAAATTCCATGAAATGTAGGAGCTCAGCGATGGACTGTTGATAATAACATTTCTTCCAAAATGCTGATTCGTTACTCAAGAGTGGGAGAAACGAAAAAGATAACGTGATCAGGTAATCACGAAATGCATTTGTTATCATTTATAATTTCGTGTATGTCGAAAGGCGCTCATTTCGACAGTCGATGTTTGAGAGACTAGATTCATACTTCAAAGAAGTAAAGTTCTCAGGCTCTGCAGATTTTCTCAATTGGAAGGCAGTTTAGCTGGAGATCACATGGATTATGAGTTGAAAACAAAATGTTTTTTTAGTTATTCTTTGTGAGCCTTTCGAACGTTTCCCTATCACCTAGCGAAATCGCGTGGAGATGCGTCGTTTGATTGCTCGTGGTATGACTACCCTAACGAGAAGTGGGAATTTGCTTGCCTGGTACGACAGAGGATGCAAGCAATGCGCGCGTTCGAAAGCAATCATATACGACAAGTATCAAAAATGGAGTTTGAATTTAGAGAGATCAACAATCACCAAAAGAAATTAGTAACGGCTTGTTAAGAAATTCTGCGCTCACAAAATTGCAAGAAATAATCAGGCGATGTAAAGTATTAATCTTCTAGCACTGCAACTTGAACTCGCTTTTCTGAAAGGATTTTTCCCCGTGCGAGTTTGGAGCTGGGGTGAGGGAAATTACCTACCCAAAAGACTTGCCGCATTGTACCTTCGGTATCATGGGTTGTCAGCAAAACTAACTAGCACTGTATGCAGAGCTGATTAGTCCCGAGTCATTTTCAGTTTTAGACATTGGTGTTTTTTTGGATCGAATATGTTGGAAAATACCAATTTGGCGGATTTTGGATTCAGCCAATTTCCTTAATCAAAGCAAATTTTTTCGCTTCTTTTCCAGTTCTTCCAAATTCACAATGAAATCTATTGTAAGAATTACATAAAAAAAAGTTTGCAGATTTGGTGAATTGAACAGAGATGCTGATATTTGGGAATAGCATTTTCGAGAACCCTTAGTTACAACTTTTCACCTTAACCGGGCATATATCTTTCACTTAGAAATTACAGCAATTAGGGGTTCTTGAGATGTTGGATGAGCATGGGGCTTACTGCGTGTAGAGATCAGTTCTGCATAAGGCGCTAATAGCGACACCTCATGGCCCCTATGCTTATGGCGGCAAGTCGTTCGCGTAGGTAAGATCCGTTCCCCTTAGAGTTGTACATTCTTAGAATCAGGCTAGAGAAAGTTACACCATGCATTAACAAGTTCAGACCACTCTTTTCACTTCTAGTAGTAGGAAGATTGAATGGGGTAAACTGCGTGTTTTGACTTGTTGGCAAAACGTGGTCTTCTCGAGAATGATTACGTCTGAAAGATATGGATCAATGGCTCGACTGAAGGCAAGCTGACTCGTCAAAGCCTTAACTGAAATTTTATTCAATTGAGATCGACTGAGGCAGCTTTACTACGGGCCATTAACTGACATAAACAACTAACATGCCCAGATTCAAAGATGAAAGAGCATTCAAATTACTTAGGGATAAGCTGTTTGTCGCATATAACAAGAGGTATCAAAGACAGATTCTTTATTATTTTAGCCGGTAATTCAAAGTTATA